GCTACAGACTTTCTATAAGTACTGAAAGAGCTTTTCAAAGTATGTCCCTATTGGAGAGGATGGATGGAAATGAAGGTGGTAGTTCCTTCTCTAGCAATGCCCAGGGGTCAGTGAGGCAAATCAGTGAGTGAACACTGGTCTGAGTCTTCAGGCTGAGTAAAAATGCTTTTCGAAGTTCTCCCGTGAGTCTGCACAGTAGAGATAAATGTACAACCTGTAACTTCCTACTTTTTTCTTTCCTTTTCTCCACCAGTACCATTCAATTTTGTTAAGGTCCCTGGGGGCACCTTGAAATTTCCAGGGAAAATCCAGAAACTAAATATGATATAGGTTTCATTTTAATTTTGCAGTGTGGGCTGTTTGATGTTAAAGGGAAATCATCTTTTAGTTCTCCCAATTTCTCCTGAAGTTGATTATTGAAACTCCTCCCTGATAGGAAACAGGAGCAGGTTGGTAACCTGCTCTGGCCACAGTTCCTAGAGTAATTAACCATCATATATAGCCTACTTTCCATCCTAGCACCCTTTGGCTTTCAAATAGTTATTTAAAAAAAAGTCTGTGTGAAGGAAGAAGGGGAGAACGTTCTGCATTATCAGGAGTTCAAAGCTGAGTGTGGTGGCACATGCCTAATCCTGTGCTCCAGGGGTGGAGGCAATGTAATCACATGACTCCAGGAGTTCAAAACAAGCCCAGACAACATAGGAGGACCCTGCCTGAAAAACAAAAGAAAGCAAAACCCAACCCAAATAAACAAAACAAAACCCCAAGACTCTCAACAACAAAATCCAAGTCATGCAAAGCTCTATAGACACACAGAAGATAATGTCTTAGTGACTTTTGTGTTGTTAAGAGTTCTTAACTGGGACCCCCAAAAAATACAAAGTAAAAATTTAAAATACATAGTTTGGAAGAAAATATTGTTAAAACTATATTTGGTGAAGGGATGTTTGTAATTCTTTGTAAGAAGACAAACAACTCAGTTAAAATGGGCAAAAGATCAACATACTTTTCAAAGGAAATGTGAATGGCCAACAACTGCATGCAAAGATGTTCAGTGTTTTAGTCATGAAGGAAATGCAAATCAAACCCACAATTAGTTACAACTTCCCCCACACTAGGGTGGTTCCACTAAGACAGACACAATAAGTGCCGATGAAGGTGGGGGAAACTGGACCTCTCGTACAACAGCTATTAGGGATATGAAATGTTTGGCAGTTCTTCCCCCAAGTTAAACAATGTGTCACCATGTGAACCAGCTCTTCCACTCCTAACAAAGCACTCAAGGGAAATAAAAACACGCTCACATTGGAATGTGCATACAAATACTCATAGTAGCTTTATTTGTCTCAAACTGGAAAGAATGTAAATACTAATTAACAGGCATCAACAGACATTGGGGGGCATGTATACAATGGGATAAATACGAAGTGTGGCTATACACACAAACACCGGGAAATATCTAAAAAAAAAAAATGGCACAGAGAGACTAGACAGACACTGTGGAAGTCCACTTACAAAGAAGTTAATCACCAGTGATGGAAAGCAGTGGTTATAAGGACAGGGGGCACGGAGGAGCAGAAAGGAGGAATTATCATAAGATGCTGAATGTTTACTGACTTGACAATAAGGATGGTTTTAAGGGTACAGACACCCATCACAATCCATCCACAATGGCACACTTTAAGCTGTATATACCCTTACCAATCTGCCAAAGAATGTTAATGAGTCAGGAGCCTCCAAATGCACAGTAAGCCTTCATTTCTGCTCTCACTATTCTCAGGTAATGGACAGAGACCAGACTTAATCAATCCTATTGAACACAAAAGGAGGCACTGTTCTCACAAACGTGCAAGGCCTTGAACTTGATGCTACTTTAATATACAAATGTAAAACATCTTCAGAAGCCAGGCATGGTGGCCCAAACCTGTAATTCCAGCACTTAGGAGTTAGAGGAAGGAGGGTTAAGAGTCGAAGGCCAACCTGGGTTATACAAGCTTAAAACAACATCCCCCCCAAAAAAACCCTCTCACGAAGAAAGTATCCAGGAATCTCAGAGGGCAATCGTTTTGTGAAATCACAGATGAACTGGGGCTCACAAAAACATGAAGCCAGCTGCAAATGCCAGGGCTAGTGGGGACTCAGAGGAAGGTGGCTGGGGTCACCTCCCGACTCAGGACTGTCCTAGTCCTGTGTGCATTCTAGGCTTCCCTAATACACATCCTCCCCACTCCCAACCTAGGCACTTTTCAGCAGCCCCCTCCCGCCCCCAACACCTGAAATCCCTATATTCTATTCCCTGCCTGGAAAGCTGCAAGGTGGGTGCTTTCATGCTGCCTGAAACTTGGTAGCAGAAACAAACAGAAGGCAGGCATTGCGGTGCCTCTTTGGAGACTGATGGAGTTTTCTGATAAGGAGCCTGTTGGGCAATCCTGGTCTCAGAGATGCAGTATGGGGTCCTGTGAAAAGCCTGCACCCTGGGTAGACTAAGACAGGCCCTCCCACAAGGGAAGCAAGCCCTCCCCAATAACTCTAGCATCACTCAAGGCTCTTTCTAGGTTAGAGTTGACTTTTGCTTGTAACCTTGAACCCACTGCCTGTCTGTTTACTTTAATCCCTCTCCACATGGGGAAGCCCCTTTCCAAGTAGCTGTCGGCTTTTCACCCAACAAAGATGTTGAAAATTCCACCTCATGATAAATTAATTCCGAGAGGAGCATCTATGAGTTTCCTGGGACACTGCTAGGCATTCCCACAGCACCTGAAAAGCAGCCAAAGTCTTTTACAAGGCAAATAGTCCAAAAGTAAAGTTTGGTGGGGGACAGGAAGAGGAGGAGCTAGAAAACAGCAGGGATTCTGATAGTTTAAGCTTTTATAATCTAGTTGCCCCTCAAAACACACAAATGAACGATCAGCCCCATTCCCCATCCAGTTTGAGGGATGAAGCACAAGTGTCCCTCTGGTGACTTTGACTTTCTTCCAGGAGAAACCTGTTCTGTTCATTTTGCATATACCTGAGAGAACACTACTTTGTTTGCTAAAAACATCTAGGAACAGGAACTGAAGGAGGAAACGGACCAAGAGCTCTGTTGCTATGTATGTAGTCAACCAGTGCGGACCCTGGAGCATTTCAGGGTCCTCACTCTGAAGGGCTCTACAGCTCTCCCTGCAGACCCACTTCCTGCTGAAAATGACTGTACATGACCTTTCCTCTAGGAACTTAGCCTTTGGTAAAGAAGCCGGTGACTGTCTCGGAAGATAGGCATCATTCATTCATTTCCTAGAGCCATAGAAATGAACACCCAAGAGCATGTGACAGAGCTTGCGCAGAGTCTCCCACTATGGGCATCTGCTCTGCATGAGGCCTAGTAGATCGAGCAATTACTTTACCAGGAACTTAAGAGACACTGCTCCTAGCATTTCTTTTTCTATTGGGAAACCAAAGTGACACATACTCTGAACTGCTTCCATGGGCCACTGAAGTCAACCAAACCCAGCATATCAAGGGAGCAAGGCCCTTTCACTAGTACCCAGGCATGGGACTTGGAGTGCAGACACAAGGCTGAGCATGACATACAGCTGCAGGCTCACAGACAAGAGAACAATCACAGGACAAGGACACAGGGATCTACTGTAGGACACAGAGATAACAGCAAGTTACAAACTGGAACTTTACACAAAACATTTTTATATACATAAAATATCTTCTCTCTCTCTCTCTCTCTCTCTCTCTCTCTCTCTCTCTCTCTCTCTCCCCGCCCCTATGTATATTCCTATGACCAGGGCTCCAACCAGCATCCTGGGTTTCCAGGTTTGCCCATAATCTCTTGACAGGATGCAGCTATCTTTGAATGTCACTCAGCTGGCAGGGGAGGTGCCACCACTGTTCCTTGGAGTGCCCAAGAGCTGCCTCCACTTCACCTGTACTACCAAACTGCCCCCAGGCAGTCTTTGGGACAAAATCTTTCTCTCCTCTGCAATAGGAGAGGGCTGGAAAGTAGCTTGCTACCCAGGATGCTGAGCTGAGTATGTCAAGGGACAGGTCTCCTGGGGGCAGCACAGATAGAATAGGACTGCCACTGGCTTCCTTTGCAGCAAAATGCCTTCTAAAGAGCCAGCCAGGCTTAAGGAAAAGGAGATGGGGGTTGTTACATCATCATTCAGGGCTAGGTTTGCCACCATGCGCATCAGTCATTGGTTGGAAAGGTCTCTTCCTCCTGTCCAAGCTTTTCTTGGGGGAGGGGCAGGGATGGAACACAGGGTCTGTGGTCTGCTAGGCACATACTCCACCTCTGAGCTACACCTTCTGTGTGAGGAATTTTTATAAAAGATAAACTCTCCAACACTCTCACATAACAAAAATCTCCATTTTCAACTAATGGTACCCCCAAATAAAAGCACATCAAAGTAATGGCAACTTTAATATGCTAAGAAATGTCATCTTAAAGATAACTGGCCAGACTCCTTACAGGGGCTACTTAAGTGCGAATTCTTAACCTGCCTTCACCACACAGTGGTGGCCTGAAAGGGTTTAGCAGACAAACTGGAAGCTTTAGGCACTGGGGCAGGGGGTAGTAATGGCCAATGTGGCCTTCACTGAGTGGGAGGGGAGGAGACTGAAGGCAGCAGGGTAGTGGAGGTACAGATGCTGCCATGTCTTACTTAGATCCTGTTCCTGTGAGGGACCAGAGGATAGGGGCTCCATTCCCAAAAAGGAGACACTCAGGGTCCCTGGGTCTTAACCTCTCTGCAAGATTTGGTACAGACCCTCCAAACAGCAGCAGGGGCCCAAGTTTTCACAGTCTAGTCTGCTTCAGGACAGCAGGGTGCCCCTGTGCCTTCCTGAAAAGCATCAGGCTAATTTATAAACTTTTAATGGAATAAAGTGCTTTTAGTATATTCTAACTAGAAACACAAACAACTCTTAAGGGAGGCAACCACCCCCACTAACACATTAACAAGAGAAAGGACACGGGTCTTCCGCGCCCCCCCCCCCCCGTAAACTTCAATGTAATTGTGCTTAGAGTTGGCTGGACTCTGCTCCTTCTTTCCCAACCACATCAAGCAATTCTCATGCGAATGGTAGAGACCAACTCTGTATTATGCAAATCTGCTCACCTGGAGACCCCATTCACATAGGCACTCATTCACCCAAGTACACACAGGAGTACCCTACCTAGACTCCATGAGGAGCCTTCCTGTGCAATCTCTAGGTATCAATTGTATCATCAAAGACTAGGGACGGAGCCTTCCTTTTCTACTCATCAGGGAAAGAGTAGGGCATATTACACTGGGTGCATGGGCAGGGGGTACCCTGTCCTTCTGAGTTACTTCTGTTTTACACTGGGGAAAGGGGCTAGCTACCCTGCCATTCTGAGTTGCTACCTTGTTTCTGGCCTCAAGGTGAGGATGAGCCCTGGGCCTTCTCGGCATACAGGAAACTTCCATTGCTTTCGCTGTCTCTTCCTTGTGCGGGCTGGGATTCCAAACCCTGGCTGAGCAGCGACCTCTCCTCCGAACCTGAGGTACTCACAGTAATCGACTTCTGTTTCTTGTCATCTTCGTCGTCATGAATGCGCAAATGGCGACACAGCAGCAACTTGTTCTTGAAGACCTGGCCGCAGCGCTCACACACTTGGGGCTTCTCATTGGCATCAATGAGCTGGGGCTCGGCCGAGCTGCCTTCCCCGGCTTCCTGGGACCGCGGCCCGTGCGGCCCGCGTCGATGCTCCAGGAGCATGCAACCGCGCCGAAGTCCCTTCAAGCGGCCACGACGCTCGAGCCGCACCCCGCCATGCACCACCTGGTGCTTGAAGAGGTTGGCCCGGCGACCGAAGGCCCGGCCACATTCGCTGCACTCGTAAGGCTTCTCGCCGCTGTGCACTCGCTGGTGTTGGCTAAGCCCTGAATGGCCGCGGAAGGCCTTGCCGCACACCTGGCACGAGAAGGGCCTGTCACCGCGGTGGCTGCGCTGGTGGTGGATGAGCTGCGAGATGCCCTTGAAGGCTTTGCCGCACTCCTGACAGATGTAGGGTTTCCGACCGCTGTGGGTGCGCTGGTGCTCGATAAGGTTGGAGCTGCGGCTGAATGCCTTGCCACACTCACCGCACTCGTAAGGCCGCTCACCGCTGTGGATGCGCGCATGCTCAAGCAGAGCAAAGCTCCGCCGGAACACCTTCCCGCACACTTGGCACACGAACGGCATCTCGCTACTGTGGATGATCTGGTGCTTGATAAGGTTGGAGCTGCGCGTGAAGGTCTTGCCACATTCCCCGCACTCATAGGGCTTGTCGCCACTGTGGATGCGCCGATGCTCCAGCAGTGCCAAGCTCCGCCGGAACAGCTTCCCGCACTCGCTGCACTCGTACGGTTTCTCGCCGCTGTGGACGATCCGGTGCTTGATGAGATTGGAGCTGCGGCTGAAGGATTTTCCACACTGCTGACACAGATACCGCTTATCGGTGATTTTGGAGTGCTGGCACCTTACAATGGAATTTGGCCTGAAGTCGTGAGGACATCTCTGCACCATGGATCCCGAAGTGTCTCCGCGGAGCCCTCTTCCAAAATGTTTTGACCTTGAAGTCAGCATCTTGCTCTTTATCCCATTTCCTGTAATGACAGAGCTACAAACTGTCACTTCAGGTTTTTTTTTTCCAGAGCGCTTCCCCCTTTTCATTTTCCCACCAAGAAACTTCAGAATAAAACAACAACAATAACAACAACAACACATCAGGCAGGCAGAAGGGAGAGCTTCTGCTCTTTCTAGAGGGTGAGCTGGAAAGTGGGGTGGAGCTGGTGAGAGACACCAGGGCAGTAAAGTCTCTTTTCACCCATCCCCAGCAAGGGGATGCCCTCACTAAAGAGGACATTTCACCCAAAGTTCCAGTGTCTACACCACTTTCCTTAGGCCAGTCCTTACTTTTTACCCTTGACACTAGCAAGCTGGCTGAGGGCACCTTGCTCACCAGCATAGGATCCTGCTGCAGTCCCCATTCTGTCTGTAATCCAGGGCTTCTCCCCTCGCTCCAGCTGGGACACCAGGTTAGGCTTAGAGAAAGCAAACCCTGTTCATAAAAATGAAGAAAATCAGCACCTTTCTAGCTAAGGACAGATTTTTTTTTTCCGAGCTTTTTTTTCCTGTAGCTTTGGAGCCTGTCTGGGAACTAGCTCTTGTTGACCAGGCTGGTCTTGAACTCACAGAGATCCATCTGCCTCTGCCTCCCGAGTGCCGAAATTAAAGGCCTGTGCTACTACCACTCGGCTGGACAGAATCATTTTTAAACAGAGCTCAGCCTGTGTCTTCAGAGAGCAAAGACCTCCTAAGAAAGTATAGTCAAGAAAGATTAGCCCTAGTCTTATGCTGGAGCAGCATGTTTCGCCACGAAACTCAAGTGAGAATTCCAGAAGTTTTATGGGAAGATGTGTCCCCAACTTTCTCTTGATGGTCAAAGAGAACCCAGGGAAGGAACCAGTCTTCCTCCAAGGGGTCAGATGACATTGGTGGTCTGTAGAGACAGAAAGAAAATGGAAGAGGGCTCATTCTCACAAATCCTTACCCATCCCAAAGCCAGCCAGGGAGCCATCTCAGCTAGAAAGATACCAGAGCAGAGTATGGCCCCAGCTTAGACTGTTCATTAGAGGAGGAAGTTGGGTCTCACTATTCTTCTCACTCACTTCCTGGTGCTTTTGAGTTCATCCACACAACCTGTGAATCCTGGTTTTGCCTGGAATTGGCAAAATGGACATCCTCTTACAGATGCACAAACACAGGAGGGTGGAACATGTTGAAGAAAGAAGAGAGCAGCAGCAAAGAAGAGTTGCCCCAGCTCTTACCTAGATTTCTCCAGGCTTGGAAACCAAGTGCACTGCCTGGCCCTAGCATGGGGCCTCACAGGCAGTGGAGGTGAAAGATGTTGCTAACTTCTATAAAGCAAGTTGAATGTCAAATACATCTGCTGTAAAAAATGAAATGAGTCTAAAATTCTGCAAGTAAATATTCCAGTGTAATAGGCATCTGTTTCTCAATAGAAAGAAATTTTTGGGCAACCTATGATTTTATGTGCAAAAATAAAATTTATCCTGAACATTTACAAGTCCAAATTATTCTTTTTGATACCACAGCTGATCTACAAGGTATGGGTCAAATAAAAAAATGTACTTATTCTTGGGTTCATAGCCATCAACAAGCAAAAGAATTCAGAATTGGAGTCCAGAGACAGTAGGTGGGACTGGGTGTGTGTACATGGTAGGGTCACTTACCCACTGACACCAAATGACTGTAGTTCTCCAGCATCACCTGCTTGTAGAGATTCCTCTGTCTGAGATCCAGAAGCTTCCATTCTGTCTTTGTAAAGTACACAGACACATCCTCAAAAGTTACTGGTACCTAAAACAAACAATTTATGTAGTAAGGAATTAAATTCCAGGTTAAGCCTAGTTGAAAACAATAAAACATGTGAATCCCCCTGCCTCAAGAGAGTTCAGCACTCAGGAGAGAATCAGCAGCAAGTTGTACTGCCATAGGAAAGAGGAACAGACAGATGCTGAAAACCTAGCAAAGGGAACTCAGGAAAGCAGTAAGCCACAGGGGTTAGGGGTGGCGGGGATGGCAAAGAACTCTGCTGGCCTGAGAGATCCAAAGCAGCAGAGGGAGACTGCTCAGGGCAAATTCAGGGACAGTAAGGGGGAGGCTGACTACTTACCTTGGGCTTTGCTCTCAGAAGAATGGCTGCCATAGTCAGTGCTCTAACCACAGATGGCACAGCTGAAAGGCTGAGAGAAGAGCAAAGAGGTTCAGTGAGGTCAGGGTGGCTCGGTGCAGCCAACCTCAGCTTGTTTCAAAACCTGCTTTATTTTTCTTGCCAGATAGTAGCAAGGTGAGACAATGAAGGCTGTGGTGTGTATGAATGAGATATGTCCCAAAGAAAGGGTGAATTTCTTTTCCAGAGGCCAGTTTCTGCGCCCTCCCTGGAGGAAGAGGTAATGGGTATTCTCACTCTGGAAGCTTCATCTAGGCTACAGATCACCACACTTTCCTTACATCTTGATGGGACCACTGCAACAAGGTACCTGCTGCAGGGGGGCTTAAAACCACACCTACATATTTTCTCCCAATTCTACAGGTTGAAAGCCTGAGATCTGGGTGCTGGGGCCGGGGGGGGGGTGTCATCCTTTCATCCTGAAGGCTGCTTTTCTTGCCTCTTTCAGCCACTGGGTGGTATCCAGTGATCCTTGACTTGTAGCTGCATCCTTCCAATGCTTTCCTGAATCTTCACCTGGATGTCTTCTCTATGTGTACTTGGATCCAAATTTCCCTAGTCTTATATGACACTATTTATTGAACTAGGGTCTACCTTACTCCAATATGGTCTCACTTTAACCTTACTTACATTTCCAAAGTTCTACTTCCAAGTAAAGGTATCTCAGGCAGTTGGGAATGGGACATGAAGCTATCATGTTTTAGAGATACAAGGCAATTCAGTCTTCAACACATTCCCAAACTTAGCTTTCAGGCTTTTCTATTTTGGTCCAAGTGAGCCAAAATCCAGGGATCACATCCCAACTTTGCTCATACGCCCTCTCCAGCCTTCCAAAAGAGCATGCTCTTTCTCTTTATCATTGTCTTCTTTTTAAAAGTTATTTTTATTTATTTTAATTTGATTATATGTATGTTTAAGCACCATACATATAATCCAAGGTACCCAAGGAAGCCAGAAGAAGGTGTCAGATCATTTGGGACTGGAATTACAGAGAGTTGTAAGCCACCATGTGGGTAGTGGAAATCAAACTCCAATCCTCCGGAAGAGCAGCCAGTATTCTAAAATGCTGAGCTGTCTCTGCAAGCCCCTTCACTTCCTTCTTTTCTTAAATCTCTTTCTTCTGATCGCTCCAAGTTTCCAGACATTCCTGGAAGCTCCATTTATGGGTTCCTCTTCCTTTAGTGTTTGGGTTCATGTTAAAAAACAAAACAAAACAAAACAAAAAACTCCAGACACACAATTCAACTTCTAGATGCAGAGTGAGAGCTTCTAGTGAGCAGAAAGAGAAGAGTGGGGCACCGTGAGGCACAGTGAAGTGTGAGCTACAGGAGATGGGTGGGGCACTCTGATGAGGCGATGGCAGGCTGAGAGTGGCAATGTGGTTGCAAGGGAACACAGGCAATAAAAGTCCCGGACATGCATCTCTGTCAGTGGTGTTTGTGTTGCTAAGAATTGAGATGATGGACACAAGCAATGAGACTGGGTGCGGACAGCAGGAAGTTGGTTCTCATGCCAAGGGCTTGAGGGTTGACAGAATAGACAAGGTTTACATTAGCCTCGGAGTTCTGTACATCAGTTAGTGTACAAGCTTGTCAGGCAAATGGTCATTTGCTTCAAGGATGCTGTTCAATCAGACTTGAGACTGACGGCATGAGAGTCCTGAGTAGAGCAGCAGAGAAACCAGGAGGAAGTCCAGTGTGGCAATGGCTCGAAAGAGTTTTCATATGCCTGGTGGGCAACTAAAGCTTGCTTGTTTGCCAGTGATAAGGCTAAGGAACACAGGACAGCCACATATTTACCCAAAATTTAAACTGCCCCCAGATCCCTTGATGAACTGTCAATTCAACATTGACCAATTATAAAGTCATGTTTCTGATGAAGTTTCTTTTTTGCAGGGAGGTTTGAGACAGGGTTTCTCTGTGTAACAACTCTGGTTCTCCTGGAACTTGCTCTGTAGACCAGGCTGGCCTTGAATTCACAAACATCTGTCTACCTCTGTCTCCTGAGTGCTGGGATTAAAGGTGTGTGCCACCATTACCTGGCTTCTGATGAATTTTCTATGACTCAGACAAAAAAGATCATTTAAGAGGTTAAAGAGATGGCTCAGTGGTTTAGAACATTTGCTGCTCTTCCAGAGGACCCGAGTTCAATTCCTAGTGCCTATATCAGATGTCTCACTTCTATCTCTAATTCCAGCTCCAGGAGATCAGATGTCTCTGGCTTTATAGAACCTGTACTCTTAAGTACACACTCATATTATGCACACACACACACACACACACACCTATACATAATTAAACAGTACTAGAATGAAAAAAATTGAAATATTTTTAAAAGACAGATCTTTTAAAAGGGACAGATACTATAAATATTAGGTAAAAGATTGGGGGAGACTGGAACATCACACGCCAAAATGTTAATCTTAAGTTAACTGTGGAGGAGAGGGTAGGACAGATGTGTCACCAAGATGAACAGAAAAGTACTCTGGACACAGCCATGTGACTGCAAGTTTTGAACTGAGTTGAGCCTTTGGACTCAGTCTCCAGTGTTAAGAGGATCTTCAGACCAGAGGTGTAGTTGGGTCAATGTAGAAGGTGCACTCTTTCACAAGCTAAGTGTCATGTGAAAGGAAGCTGGGAGTAATACTTTTCTGTAGATGGTAAGAGTTTTAGTTCTGGGATGTTGGTATGGAGAAGATTCATGAGAGTCACTGAAGATGATGGAGATTGTGAGGTGGCTACCAGAGGAATCATCAGTGTTCATGTGTTGGCTAGATAACGGCGGTGAGGCACAGAAGAAAAGATTCTTTTAAAGAAATTTGCATATTGAAACAGTTGAGAAAATGGTGTGCTTGCTGCTCAATTTAAAATATTCCATGAATAAACAACAATAACAATCACAAGAGAATGAAGCAAATAAGGCAAGATGGTGACCACTATTAAACCTGGACTTCATCACACTCTTTCTGTCTGCCTCTACATTTGACAATGTTTTCTATAGCTTGGATATGAAAGTCACCCAGAGGTCCAAGAATTATCATCCTTATCCTCAGCATAGTGATACCGGGAGGTGCATGAATTGTTTTTTCCATTGCTGGAATAAAATAGCTGATGAATGCAACTTAAGGGTTTATTTTCGCACACAATTTGAGGATATACTGTCCATCACAGAGGGCCTGGTGGCACAGGCATAAGGCAGCTGGTCACTTGTGCTTACAGCCAGGAAACAGAGACAAATTCTAGTGCTGAGTCTGATTTCTCTCTTTTCCTTTTAAAATGATTTTTTATATAAATTTAAGTGTGTGTGCGTGTGTGCATGCGTGTGTGTGTGTGTGTGTGTGTGTGTGTGTGTGCGCGCGCGCGTGTGTGTGTATTTATGTGGAGGAATGTGCACCTGAGTACAGTTGCCTACAAATGCCAGCAAAGGACATTGGATTGCCATGGAATTAGTGTTATAGTTGTGAACCACCTGATAAGGGTTCTGAGAACTGAACTTGGGTCCTCTGGTCAAAGAAGAAGCACTCTTACTGCTGAACCATCTTTCTAGCTCCTCTTCCCCCTTTTAATTCAGTTCAGGACTACAGCCCATGGGACAGTGCCACCTATTTTTAGGGTGTGCTCTCCGTCCTTAGTTAAATCTCTCTGGAAACATCCTCACAGACAGACATGCCCAGAAGTCTGTTAGGTGATTCCAAATCTAGTCCAGTTGACACGAAGATGAATCAGCACCCGACAATGGAACCTTTAGGAAATGGAGCTTACTGGGAGGTCTTTATGCCATTGTCAGTGTGCCCTCAAGGTGGATAGTAGGATTCTGGCCTCTTCTTTTTTCCCCTTTGTCATACCAAAAGCAATTTTGCTATGCCATATTGATGTGCTGTGCCCCAGGCCCAAAGCCATGGCCAGTCTATTAGCAAGCTGAAAGTTCCATACCTGTGAACCAAAAGAAACCTTTTCTTTCCATAAGTTGATAGCACCATGCATTTTCTTACTACATATTAGGGAAGCTGAATAACAATGTTCAAAAACAAAAGGGAAAAGAGAACTATAGAAATCATTTGCATAGGTCTGGGAAATGGTTCATTAGTAATATACATGCCTCCCAAGCATGAGGGTCTGAGTTAGATATCCAAAACCCATTCAAAAAGGTAGGCCTGGCTCAATGATTAAGAGAATTTTGTTCTTCCAGAGAACCCAAGTTTGGTTCCCAGCAGCCACATGTTGGCTCACAACTATCTGTAACTCCAGTTCCACGGGATCTGACACCATCTTCTGATCTCTGAGGGCATCAGGCACACACAAAGTACACAATGCAGGCAAAACATTCATACAAATAAAATAAATAAAACATATTTCTAATTCTAGTGCTGGAGAACTGTAGACAGGTGGACTTCTGGGGCTCACTGGTCAGTCAGCCTAGTCTACTAGGTAAGCTCCAGGCTAAATGAGAGACATCTCAAAAAACAAAGTGAAATGGCACCGGAGGAATGACATCTGAGGTGGTCCTCTGGCCTTCACATGCATGTATGTGTGCCTGCACACAGGAACACACACACACACACACACACACACACACACACACACACACACACAC